TCATGGTTAGCAGAGTTATATTCTAAATATTGTCTTGTTGTGCTTATTTCTTCTGGATTTTTTTAAAAACAGTTCTACCATGGAAATCAGCAAGGAAGTCCTCCCTCCAGCTGATGGAGCTGAATCGAGCTGTGTGTTTGGAGTGCCCTGAGCTTCAGATTCCATGGTTTCATAAACGCTTCTGTGAACAGATGAAGGAAAAAAGTGAATATTTCTACTTTTTGGCACCTTAATAGCATTAAACCTCATCAAGGCTACAATTCCTTTGAATCGTGGTGTTCTTTTTATAAAAATGGATTTGTTACTCCTTGGATATGGAAAAATTAGAAACTTTGCCTACTGTAAAGTTAAAGGCCTCCTTTGTCATGTTTGATCTGCTTCCTTTGGAGAACTGTGATCTTTTTAAAAAAAAAATGAACCAAGATGGTGGGAAGCCTCTGATAACTTTGCCTTTGAGAAATAATAGATCATTTGGGGGGGGGGGGTGTTTGGTCTCCTCTGTATTTCTAACTTGGTGTTTATTTTCTTCACTGTCTTTTTTTTCCCCTAGAGACTGATTCATCCAGTCTGTTGCAACAGCAGATATATATACTACTTGGAGAAATCCTAGGAAGAAGTCATTATGCCAGATGTTCTGCACTCACGTCTTACTACTATAGAATTGGTGGGTTGTTTCAAGCACAGAGTATAACACTTGTTTTGTTTTCCCTTAAGACTTGAGTGTTTTGTCTAAATGGTTATGATCTTGTAGGGGCATGACATTCTTGATTTGAAGACTGTACATGTTTTTCTCTTAGGAGCAATTCTTTGGCACATGTCTAATTTTTGCAGCTGCATATTAGCTAACCTAAAAGTCCCAAGCAGCTGCCACATTCATTCATTCATTCATTCAATTTCCTGACCTTATTATTTTTGTTAACTCAAGGTGACAAACACACAATAATTCCTTCTTCCTCCTGTTTTCCCCACAACAGCAACAACCCTGTGAGGTGAGTAGAGCTAAGAGCGAGTGACTGGCCCAAGGCCACTTTTCTTGCCTAAAATGAGATTAGAACTCACAGTCTCCTGACTTCTAGCCTGATGCCTTCACATTGCTCTTTTTCATTCATGCCCTCAAATGCTCTGAAGCACCTCACTGCCTTCAAACGCGAACACTGCACAGTCCTACTTTATGTTATTCTGGTGATGCAGAAGTAATGCCTATTTGCAAGTTATGTTGGGTATGATTTCAGCTTCAAATTGCTGATAGCCATTCATGTCTTTCAGATTTTGAATTTATGATTGGCAAAAACAGGAAACCTGTGCCATATATAGACCAACATGTTGCCGTTCCCAATTCAGACAACATAGGTTGTGCAGAAGCTAATCACTCCTGTGGAAGGAAAGGGCTACCATCAGGATTTCAAAGGTGACCATGTATTTTTTTATGTTACACAGGTAATGTTATGCAGGTAATGCAGCACGATAAGGGTTTTCACTAGATTTTCCATTCCAGGCAGTTCCCTGAGCAGGTGATGGCACATTGTATTTACAATTTCAATCAAGTGAACAGGTATCTTAATTAGACAGGTGGCATTTTTTCCCTATTCACGTATTTATTTGATTTATATAGCATCTCACATATGTGACTCTGGGTGCCTTCCACAGACACATAACAGAAAACAAAAATAAACAACTAAATGCAGCCGCGCGAGCAATCGTGGGTGCACCTCGTTTCACCCACGTAACACCTATCCTCCGCGAGCTGCACTGGCTGCCTGTTGATC